ATTGTGAGATGGACGTCTTTGTCTCGAGTTTTATGTGTCCTTTTAGGGAGGACTTGAGATTAGATATTGTCATGTTCGGTGGTCTAAAGAACGTTCCTCTTTCGGGCTTCGGAGTCTTGCGTAGCAGTGTAGAGTGGACTAATGTCCGTTGAAAGTCGGATGTAGGGACTAGTTGGTCTCGTGTTCTGATGTCGTGAGTAATGAGTACCCTCATAGGGTGGTGAGCATTGTGTTTTGTGGCAGTGGTGTGTGATTGTTTGGTGACGTCCGGTGTCAAAGGCAATAATGTTGGTGAGTTCATGGTTTTGGGTTTTGTGAAGTGTTCTCTAGAAGGGGTGTGGTTGTGCGCCTTCTTCTTTAAGGATGGTAGATTTCGATGATGAAATCTTTTAAGGAGAGTAGATTGTAATGTTTGTTATATATATATATATATATATATGGGATTAAAAAGGTGGGATTTTGTAAGTGGAGGACATACCACTTGATTTTTAATGGTCAAGAGGCCATTCTAGCCTCATTTTCATTCTCTCTCCCGTAAGCTCTCTTCTCTCTCTCATTCTTGGTTTATTTTTCTTTCTTTTTACATCATAGCATCTTTAATTACTCCTTCGTTTCTTGGAATTTTTGGATGTCGTTTATGACAAAACGGAGAATACGGCGAGATCTACACATTAATACAAGCAATTCCATGTTTGGTGCACTATAAGGATTTCGAATTTTGGGACCCATTTGGGGGTTTTGCATCTAAGTGAGTCAGGGGTGTTTAATCCATAACTTCTTAGATTTTAGTGAATTATTCTCCTTGTGTTGTTGTCTAGCATGCTATAATTATGATGAATTTTCTTTAATATGATTTACTTGTTGTATATGAAAATTATAATTATGTGTATTGTTGTTGTTGTTGTGTGAGAAAAGTAGGCCTAATGTGTTAAATTTCATGCCTTTGGTGCTTATTAATTTGCTAGAAATTGCTATGTGAAAGTATGTTGAATTGTATAATATGAAATCTCTGAATATGTGTATTAATTGATTTGTATGAAAAGCATGCCTAATGTGTTAAATTCCATACCTTTGGTACTTATTAACTTGCTAGAAATTGCTATTTGTAAGTATGTTGAATTGTGTAATATAAAATCTTTTATTGTCATTACATTGGAAAAGTATGTGATGTTCATGCATGACATTGGGCATGAAAAAGAGAAAAATGTTATGAAAGCAAATGAAACTATTTTGGGGAAATTGTTTTGAAAAGTGTTTGGGAAAATCCGGACGCCTAGGAGGCGCTTAGTGGTCCGTGGTGTTAGTGTGATCTAGAGGGGGTTAGAGAGAGACTCTAGTGTGGTTAAGCTACCCAGACGACGCTATGGAGGTACCATGTGGTCGGGGAAGACTAACCAACCCCTCTCTCGTGACGCCTTGGAGGTGCCTTGGGTCGGATTACACTAACGGTTTGGAAGTTGAAATGGCAATGTTTCGGAAATAGGGAGCGACATGAGCATGGCATTGCACTTCATTGGTATACATAGTGTATTTGGGACTTGGATGACATTTATGTTTATATTGGATGTTGTGGTTATGGTTTATATCACCGGTATAATATGATCTTGTTTTCATACTTTCTATTCTCTATGTGGATTCACGGGGTCATAAAGAGGTGTGTCTTAGGCACCTCCTACTGAGCAATTTGCTCACCCTTTATATTTAACATTTTTTAGGACACGGACGGGAAGTGGCGGACGACATTCCTCCACAAGGTTCGATGGGTTAGTAGACCGTTTTGACATACTTTGTAACTATGATCTTATTTTATTATTTATTTATTTATTGATTATTATTATTTTTATATATAAACCCTGGGATGATACGTACATTATGTATTGACATAGGACAGGATGGTATTGTCCTTAATTGACCTCCGGTTCGGGTACGGATCTGGTTAACGATTCGGACCCCCGAGTTCGGGTCGTTACACCGCTCTTTCTCAAATTCAACAAAGGATAACAAACACATCAAAATCGTGCCCTTTTTTCTCCATAATTCAACAAGTTTGATGAATCACCACACAACACTGGCCGAGATCAAACTTCATTAGCCCTCGATTAAAAATCATCGGCAATCTTCCTCAACTACAAATACTTGAAAAAGATTGTCAACAACCCGATTCAAGATCAAGCTCTAAAAACCCTTGAATCCAACCAACAAAGAAGATTGAATCAAATGATATTTTCTTTCTTTTGTAAAGAATATCTCAAATGATTGTACTCAAATTTTTATAAATTAATAAAATTCTATTGGCTCCTATTTCGTTCTTTATTTGCAGACTACGAAAACACGGCGTTGGGAGATCACTTAAATTAAAAAATAATATTCAGGTGGACTAGTCGGCTTGAATATCAATACTCAAAAAAAAAAAAAAATTGGTATTCCAGGAATACCAAGTTCGGATGTCAATTTCTCTTGACTGGGTAGGTTTTCACCCCGCCTCGCCCCTAATGGGGCGGATTTGATACACCTTAAATAGGTTTTGGACGAGGATGGTAAAATAATTGAAAACCCGGAACAAGTTTGAAGTGAAGACAGATTTAGTGATGATCTCCCACCCCCACCCCGGTTATATATGTACCTTTAATATATATATATATATATATATATATAAATTTTTAATATTTTTAAAACTCTTGTTATTTTGCTATAAGTGTCCATTAATATATTAATATCCACTACTTAGTAATTTAAAAATTGAACCATTAGCCCAATTTAAACACATTTAAGCTAGCTTTTTTATTTTTACATAATAAAAGTAGCATAATCCGTCCAGCTCTGCCCCATCCCATAATTAAACGGAATATGTGGGGCAAAGTCGGTACTTTGTGTACCAGAATAAGGGCAAAAATGACATACGAATTACAAATTCGTATCGAAGCAGAGGCGAAATTAGTATGATGAATTTTCTAATACGTTAACCAAAACCGTCCCAACTTTGTGTAGTTGTCATCCCTAATACCAAGTATTTTTCATTAATAAATACTATTGGGACTATAATTTTGGTACTTCACGCCGCAATGAGGAGCGTTAGGATCCCGTTCAGTTTGTTTTCGATTATTAAAACATTTTTTTCTCGACTGATTTCTAGACCATACAACCAGTTGCTTGATTTCGGTAAAATCATTTTTCTTTTTTCAAATAATTTCTAACCCATGTGACTAGCTTGAGTCTTGTGCCACTTTTTTAATTACCTAGTCACAAGACTTTCTAAAAATTTACGTTAGTGATCGGCACGAACTACGAAAAAGATGTCTATCACATGTCGTTAATAATGTGAGAGAATACCGAAGGTACAGTTTCATTATAGTATCTTGGAGAATTTCCAGAGTGAGAAAATCTTGAAATTAAGATAAGGAGTCATCTAATTAAGGTCATTAAAGAATACTCACGTGTTATTACTCCGTACTATGTAAGTTCGTATTGTGATAAAAATTCACAGACATAACTTTGAGTTTGAAAATAATTACTTAGGTAAAGAGGATATTTGAACTGAAGAGATATTAAAATTGCACTTCTTCTAACAGTTTAATTTTTTAAATAAATAGTCTTTAACATATATAAATGAAGAGAGGGGTTAAAGAATTTAAATATTAAAATTATACTTATATAATATCTTAAACTTTTACAATAATTAATATTAAGCTGTTAAAGTAGACAATTGTGATGTGCTTTCGTTTTTAGTTCACACAATCTGTCCTTATATTATTTTCCATGATATAACACTATTATTTAATATTGTGATTAATATTCACACCGACGCGTACGGACATAAATTTGGGTTTGAAAACTAACTCCTTTTATGTAAAATACTGCTCTAACACCTTGATGGAGGTGACCAACATGAGCACGTGAATAGGCTTTTCACCTAATAATGATAAACAAACTAATCTACACAAAGCAATTTTTTGAGCTACAAAGGCATGTTTATATATTGGGTCATGAAAACTTCTTTATGGTAAGCGCCGCACAATATTTTCATTTTCACTCTGTATTTTAAAAAGTGTGTTCTTATTATTCGTTTGGCATGCAAAAATGTAATGAAATTTATTCTAACTATTCTCTTATTTGTTATGACGTTTATAATGGGAATGACCATTTTCTTGAAATGAAAATCTACTCCAAAAAATGAAAATCTATTCCACGTCTAAACGGATGGGATGAAAATTCATTCTAATGAATGAAATTCAAGACCATCACCACCGCCATCATAATCCACCACCACAACAACCACCACCGCCATCCCCCACCACAACCACTGTTGTCGTCCCCACCCTCCACTGCCACTGCATTTTGCTGCCGCCACCACCTTCCATCGCCACCTTCTACCACTTAGAATTGTTATTATCAATTCATTTCAACATCATTTCATATTTGCAACCAAATAAGAGAATAAAAATGACAATTCTATTCCATTCACATTGATTTCATTCCCACATACCAAGTTAGGCCTAATGTTTTAAAAATGTGGGGGAATACCCCTCAAATTAATTTTTACAAGTCTTTGATGTAAAGGAATGCTTAAAACCCATTTTTGAGGATTTTCTCTCTTTATATATTTTCTCTACAACTTCAGTGTTTTCTCTCTATATATATTTTCCCTAAAAGTGTACTATTTTAACCCACTTTTGAGGATTTTCACTTTCGCTATATATGTTTTTGTTGGCACAAAGATGCTTCTAGCTCACACCTCTTACTGTTTTGACGATAATAAACAAAGAAGAAAAATGCATTTAAATTGTCTTTGTAAAGATACAGCAAAAGGAATGATCTTAAGGGCTGGTTGGTTGGTGTTCTGTTCTGTGTTATAGTGTTCCAGGCCCGCTACAGTGGCACTATGGAGGCCCAAAACATGTTTGGCAGAGGCCTGTGTTGGTTTCAACAGTGTTACAACAAATTCATTTTTTGGGCCAAAAGCTGAAACAACAAAATGGTGTTCTAGCATGTTTTAGGTACTGTTTAGGCCATTGCAATACTGTAGCGGAGGCTACAAAAATCCACTTATTCCAACTTCTGAGGAAAGTTGGAACATTTTAGGGTAGAAGGCAGTAGCGAGCATTTAGCGATTCGAAGGCGATTCAGTTTCAAAGGGCAAATCAGTGCGATACAGTCCTTCTACGACCATAAACGTCATCGATCAGTCCCTGATTTCATCTTCCCTTCAAAGAACAACCGAGGTTTGTGCAACTTTCCATTTCTTCGAATTTTTTTTGTTTCTTATCTCTGTTTTTGACTGATTATGTTCGATTTGAGCTTTCATGTTGAAAGTAAACGACTTTGAAAAAGAAGCCCTAATTTATTTGATTTTAATATGTTCGATTTGAGGAAAACCCTAATTTTTATACTACTCGTCTTCTAATAAACCCTATTTGATATATTTTTTAATTTTTATTAGACAATTAAGTTCCATGTATTCCATTCCTTAATTATCTTCCTCTATCTCCTAGCTCCTGTGCTGAATTGTGTCATAAATTAATTAAAGGATGTTATAATCGTGTGAGTCAATTTTAATTGCTTTCCTTTGATCAACAGTGTATTTCTTTATTATAGAATCGTATGTCTCTCAATTACTTTTTCAAGTATCTGCATTAATTTTTTGTTCTATGAAAATTTATCTGAAGTGTGTCTTATGCATTGAGATCATACTTGTAGGAAGGAATGTCATATGTGTTTGAGAATACTGTTATTGGTTGGTAGGATGCTATATCCATTTAAGTAGTGTAGATTAATGTTGTGGAGAAGAAACTCAAGCTCTTTCTTATATATATATATATATATATATATATATATATATATATATACATACATACATACATACATATATATGAGAAAAGAGAAAAAAGAAAAATAGTATTCAATTTGGTTTGAGTTCATAAACTAAACAAATTTCAGTAAAAGACATTAAAAACCCAAATTTTGTCTTTCAATTATTTTATTTTATTTTATTTTGTTTTGTTTTATATTTCATCTCTGTATATATATGCACCTTCTCTGTAAATTGAAAACTGAAAAATCAAAACAAATTGAAAAACAGAAAATTGAAAAAACACTATGGACTAAAATTGAACAAATTTACATTGTGGGACTTGAATGAAATACACTGTGATGTTGTTGAGATAAACTGAGACAAAAATAAAATTTGGGACTGTGATTTAGTTTTGTTGGGTTGCTGTTTTGTGAATAGAGGATTGGGCAATATTGTTGTTGTTTTTGTTGAGGAGTTTGGGCATATGTGAAATGGGCCTTTATTTCTTTAATTGGAATTTTTACCTTTGTGAATTGATTTGAGAAATGAAAAATGGAAAGTGGACTCGAAAAGTTGAAATTGAAATTGGAATTGTGAAAAAGATGTGAACCTTGGGTTTTTTAATTTAGCACTAGCACTAAGATACTTTAGCATTATTTTCTATTAGAATGGGAACAGTTCCTTGGGTGATAATGCATGAGGTATTTGAATAACCTTTAAATTCCTCATTCTAAGTACTTCTTTGTGACATTTGACTATGGATCTAACATTTTTCATGGCTTAATTAATAAGTGCATTCCATTCTAGTTACCTAGCAAAGTAGTACCTGAAGCCAAGGGAAAAACATTAGAAGAAATTTAGCATCAACTGCTTTTTTGGAGTGGAATGCACTTGTGCTTCTATATTGAAGTCTTCCAACGCTAACGATGATGTTGTTGACAAATATTGGAAATGAGTGGACATTTGTTTCCTTCAGTAATGCTGGACTTGGAAAAGATCGGACAACTTTGAAATTCTTTCAGTTTGCCTTTTGTAATAAATAGTTAATTCAAGATCTATGTATAGAGAGATGGGACTACTTTGCGTACATTTTTAATATTGGTTGGATTGTTAATTATAGACAATTTGTATATTCAAGTATGAAATGAATTTGAATTGGTAGATGGTTTATTATACACATGATCAGTTTTGTAAATGCTGTCAATTTTAACTGTATGAAATGGATTTTTGATTATATACAAGTTTTATAGAGCTCAAATAGAATGATTTTTAATGAATCATATTCATCATCATTCAAAGGTTTTATATATGAATGATATCAATTTAAATGGAATTACATGTTTTCATTTTGTCGATGATTGTTATGTTGGGTTTTAAATAAATAATCCACATGTAGAAATCAAGAATATTATAATTAGTTAAATAGAGAATTTAGTCTCGTACCTGATTGATGATTAAATCGCACATATACCTTTAGAATGTCTATGTAATCCTTTCTGAATTCCTGCAAAACATTAGAGCGCTTTACCCCCTTCTAAGAGTTGTCGATACGATAGGTCTAAAAAAGAGTTTTAAAACCCTTATATATATAACAACAACAGGGGGGGATGACTTTTCTATAAACAAGTATACCTAAATCTCCCTTTCTATCATGGAAACTTAGATATCAATGGTTAGAAATAAATCACACCAAATAAGTTGAAAAATCACAATCCAACGGTATAAAACCATACTCCCAATTAGACCACCAAATTGGAAAGTACAAACCCAATCCATCAAGTATCAATAATCACATTGCAATCCTAATTTAGAAAACGTAGTGCATAGGATCATAAAATAATTTTTATTATTTATATATATAAAAATTCCAACAATCTCCCACTTGGTCCATGCACTCTAAGTTTTATAAAATGACACTATGGATTACAACACACTTTATAAAAGTCGAGTGACCACTCATTTTTATTTAGAAAACACAATTATCAAAATTGATGGATCGAAACGTTAGAACACTCTCCTCCATAAATTTCCTCAATAGTGGATCATGAATGCGTAGACAAGTAATATATTAGTCTAAATAGTTCCATGGTCTCAAAACTGATTCCATCTAGGATTCAAGTAAATATAGTGGTTTTTACTGAATTTCATGAGATGTGCAAACTGTATGTGGTCTAAACGCACATCTCACTATCCGTCCTGGTTTATACCATCGCGGTATGTCACCTGAACATATTACAGCAAACCGCTAACCTTCTGTTCAGTGTAAGGGTTTACCGATATGGAGCCAATACCATATCTAGCCTAAGCTATCCTCATGGAGTGTGAAAAACTCCAACAGGCAAACTTTAATATTTATGTTTGGATTTACCAATGTGGTGTCAATCTCACATCTAGTCCAAATAACCTCATGAGTGAAATACCACTCTCAGACAAATCTTATATTTGGATTTACCGATATGGCGTCAATCTCATATCTAGCCCAAACAACCGTATGAGTGAAATATCACTCTCAGACAACCTTTAATGATTATTTTGGATTTACCGATGTGGTGCCAATCTCACATCTAACCCAAACAACCTCATGAGTGAAATACCACTCCCAGATAAACATAATAGCACGTGCATAAACCATATATATCAAAATAATAATAATTATGCATCATAACTTTATTTTGGATGCAAATAACTGTCACCATAAGGTGTAAACTAGAGGAAAATAATTGTCACCACAAGGCGTAAAGAAACTAACTGCAATGTAGCATATACAAAAAAAATACTAGACATTATAACATAATGACTCTTGAACACCTATCTGAATCACGTGCTCTTTAAATATTTTATTATCTTCGACTGAAGACTTTAGTAAGAGGATTTGCAACAATCTTTCTGTAACCATATGGGGAAATCTTTATAACACTTAAACCTTAACCTTCTCACGCTTGAAATGTACTTTATGTCAATAGGCTTACTACGCTTGATCACCCTTAAATTGTTTCCATATACTTAATTAATATAAGCCTTTAAAGAAAGTCCAAGTATTCCAGTAGCGTGATCTCTATGGATCCTAATGCCAATGACATACTTTGCTTACCCATGTCCTTTATGTCAAAACTTTACATAAAATTCTTAATGTCATGTATCACATGAATGTCATTGCTACCTTGCAAAAAATCATCAACATATAGGACAAAGAAAACAAAAAAAAAAATGACTCCCACTGAACTTGAGGTATATGCATTTATCCATAACATTCTCTTTGAACCTACAATTAGTAACCACTATATAAAAATTTTGATACCATTGCTATAAAACTTGCTTAAGCCATAAATGAGTGATAATGAAATAATGACTTTTAAAGAGTCATTAATGAAATTGGAGAAAAAATCTCAAAGAAATCAACACTTAACTTTTGCTTAAGTATTTGGCCATTAATTTTTGTCTTATATCCACTAGACACCTCAAAATCACCAACTATAGTATACTACCAAGCTCTAGAAGATCTCCTAAGCTAAACTGGCTTAGGAACTTAATTGAAAACTGAACAAAAGGTCTGCAAAGGAGAAATAACTAAAAGAGTGGGAATATGAGCTTTAACTGAAACCACTAAAGAAAATGGAATAAAGCCTGGAATAAATAGAATAGATACTGAAAGTTGCTTCTCTGTAAAAAGAAACTATAGTACTCTAAACTCCCACTGGATTCGCCACTCTTATCAAATTTGTATGATATGTATCAATAATCTCCATAGGTGTACAGGAGAGTAAAATCTCGAATCCTTTAATCTTTCAAGATGCCCAATAAAATAATCATTAATAGTGTGAGTATCAAGCTCCTTGATATCTGCATTATATAACTCTATCTTTATAAGACATCCCCACATTTTCTCTTTTCTTCAACTTTATTCTGTTTAGGAAAACTAAGAGTGGTGTATTGTAGCACAATGCACTGCTCTTTAAATATGTATTGAAAGTACTACGATTTACACCCTCCTTACCATTCTCCCATTAAAACTCACCACCTTAGTCTGATATTAAAACCATAATCACTATACTCAACTACTTTCAACTTTTAGTCTGGTATATTTTACACACATTAAGTACTTCGGACTTCTGGTGGATTAAGTACACAATCATACTTTGAGAACCCATCAATGAAGACAATGAAATACCTATACCACACTCAAGCTACAATAAGAAATTGACCACAAATCGGTATAAATATAGTCTAAAAGACCAAATGATCGACTGACCTCAAAATTGTGTTTCTTTGCATCTATTCTTTGATACAACCAACGCATAAAATTTGTGGCCCAATAATCTTATCCTTGACCAAGCGTTCAAATCTCTTTTGAAAGACATTCCCCAATATCCTATGCATAACATAGATGAATCCTCTCTAACCAAAACACGATTTTATTCGGACGGTATCGAGTCTATTGAAAAACAAGAAACATGTAGAATCACATCCGGATCCATCTACCATGTCTATACCTATACTTTTACCAAGTTTGGCTTAAATATTAACATGACAATTTTCTTTCATGCTTTGTTTTTCTTTTCACCACAATAACATTTTCTTTTGATGTCCTTTTATTTATACAGAACCAACATTTATCATTCCATGATCAATGTCTTTTCATGTATTGTTTTGTCTTTCTTTATTCTGTTTAACCTTATACATTTTCTTGCCGCCTAGTTTATTTTTGAAATGATTCTCGCTGTCACGACAAGATGAGCTGACTCAGTTTTAACACCCTTAAGTCGCTCCCCTTCAATCACACAAAATGCTAACAGCTGGTTAATTCCATAGTTAACTTCTTGTGAATTATAATTCACCCCGAGAAGCTGAAAAAACTTAAGCAGAGAATAGATCACCACGTGGACTAATAACTTATCAACAAATATGATTCTCTACTTCCTCAGATCATTAACCAGCTTACACATCTTATAGATGTACTCCCTCACTGAACCATTGCCATCATATCTCACTAATATAATCCATGTTAGATAATAGTATTGTAGTTGCTTCTTAATACCCATTAACTCTTTATTGACCAAATCAAGAAGCTCTTTGATAGTATCAAAACTAGAATACCACCATGAATAATATGACCAATAGAAGCATAAATTAACTTAATGGCATGGTAGTACCTTTAGTCCACCTAAAATGCAACTATTTTCTACCTAAGAAGACTCCGCACTGGGCATATGGGTTTCTTCCTCAAAAAAACATAGACTCATGGTCTAAGAAACCCAATATAATATCAAAACATGTCTCTAGGTAATATAATTTTAATTATTCAATGGTTCAATCCCTATAAGCTATCTTTAAATGGCGGAAGTATCTGTAACCAGAATAAATGTTATATTGAATAACACCACATAAACAACATATAAAACAATATGTTATAGCTTCAGGGATTATTACTTTAATTCGTGCTTGGGGTTTTAAGCCAAATTTCTCAGGGTGTTTTATTATGTGCAAAATTATCCACCCTGCGGGAACAGATAAAATGCCATCTAAAAATCACCTTTTAGCAGAATTTTAGATTTTACTTTACCTCCCAAACCTGCGATAAAATATCACATAGACCTATTTGATTATAATTGAATTATTGCTAAATACTTCCATTACCTTTTGGTAAGAGGGTTATTTAATTATAATCCAAGCACTCTTAAATATTCTACTCACTTATCCCACACTAAGACATTGATCACCTTTTGGCAGAACAAATGCCCTTATGTAAGTAAGTGCACTGTAAGACCTCAATACGACCAATGCCTTAAAATTTCAAAATAATAATAATAATAATTATAATAACTTCTGTGAGTGTGTCAACTTTTGTTAGGCAGCACCCACTTTAGCTTTTACTTTTGAAACGATCACTTTACCTGTCTTCCTAAACCCTAAGGAAAAACCTAAATTGAAGTTCCATTTATTTAAGTTAAACAATTTCTTTATAATGCATATAAACTAAACCCAAATATTATGGAACACTTAATTTCACTGTAATATAAATGGCTTTAATACAAATAAAATAAAGCCCCTTCATACATCTTAAGAAATTACACTGAACAATATAATAATAACATGCACTTCAATCGAGATTTAAAAAAAAATCTCAATTCTTTATATACTTTAATTAAAAGAAATCTTAAAACATGATGCATGCATATTAT